TATATATATATATATACCTATACATGCCTATGTGTGCATGTGACAAGTGATCCTGATGCATGCTGCACGAAGTTCCATGCATGCCACTTCCACTGCCACTCCCTTCTGAGGGCTTGAGGGGCTGGAACGACCACGTGCGCATCATCCGTAGCCAAACGACTGAAAAGACATCTGGCAGTTGACATCAATGGACGGGCTAACCGCCGAGGCTATTGCCTCCTTGCCTACGAAGAACTGCCCTGAATACAGCACCAACAAAAAAACACTCTTGCACATGCAGACCCAAACAAGAAAAAGTGCAGGCCTCCAACATTTCTACTCCAGGGTGGGGTGGGATAAGGTGGGGCGGGGTGGGTGGGCAGTGTCCATGCACGCTCGTGCGCGCGTTCAGTGATCATCGCTTTGAGCCACCGCCGCAAGAACACCCACTGAAAAAGGAAAGCTCCAAACAGCTGCGACGACAACATTTCCTGGCTGGTACCATGCCTGTAGGAGACTCCACTTGCGACAGGCTTGTGACAAGCATCCGGTCTTATTTCGACCGTCACAATGCGACGATTTTTGTATCAAGTCTCCTGCAACTGCTGTGTTGGAACATCAGGGCTTATTCGGCATGCAAGCCATGGCCACGGGTCCTCGTGCAACTCCCTCGTCCAGCCTTGCTTGCGCCTGCGCGACCTCCTGCGTCAGTGTCTGCTCACGCCTGAGGAGGCTTGCTACACGTAAGAGCTTTCCATGTTGACGAAGTTTGACCGACTTGGGCTGGCTTCGATTCAAGCAGCACTTCGTGCATGGATCAAGTAAGTGGTGGTCGCTTTAGTGGCCCTGCCCCCCGCTCGACCTTTGTCCCCGGCTTGTTTAATATGCTGCCCGTGACCCCCTTGACCTTGGTTCTGTAGATTCGGGGGCTCGGGTTGGCATTGGGGTGTGGGTGGGCCTGACTAACTAACTTACCACGGTTTTGGGGCGTCCGAGAAGTTTGGGTGGGCTCGGGTGGAGGGTCTGCGGTGCTCCGCGAATGCCCGGCTCGGCAAGGGGATCCACAACAGCTCGAAAACAAGCCCCGATCACTCCAGGATAACTACCACACTAAACCCCCTTTCATTTGGCAGACTTTTGCCTCCAATCTACATTCCCCTCACAATCCGCCAAGTCTGAGGCCTGTACTGTACAATAGTAACTCAATAAAAATAATAAATAATAACAATAATAATAATAACAGTAGTAGTAGTAGTAGTAGTAGTAGTGGTAGTAGTAGTAGTAGTAGTAGCAGCAGCACACAGTAACCTTACAGTGGTACGGTCATGGTACAACAGTAGTACTGTAAAAGTACAGTAATACATTAGTAGTACAGTTTTTAGCACAGTAGTAGCACAGTAGTAGTCCTGCAGTAGTACAGTAGTAGTAGAGTAGTATAGTCGTAGTGCAGTAGGTGTACAGTAGTCGTACAGTTGTGCAGCAGTAATACAGTACGAGGGCTTAGGCGTACCTGGAGCTGTTGAGCGGGGTTTGCGGATCACTAAAATCACTAAAAGCTCGAAACCAAGCCCCGATCACTCGAAGATGACCCTCCAACCTACACTCCCCTCCGCAATCGGCCAAGTCTGAGTGGCCTCAGACAGTCTGAGGCCTGGATACAGTAGTACAGTAGAAAGGAAATACACAAATCAGCCGGGCCACACAAAACGCATTGAAAGCGCATCACATTAAATGCTTCAGCTTGACATGGACACCATAGTGTAAATTCTAAGCTCGGCACTTCTCGCAGTGCTCCAACCGAAGACTCTCTGAAGAAGCCCGATCCGGCCGCCCAGCTTCCTCTGCAGCAGAAGAGCTGCAGAAATCACAGGATTTCACCTTTGTGACCTTCGCAGCGTGCCTGCCAGTGCTGTTTCGCATGGAGCAAGTCCAGGCGAGCTTGCTTTAGTGCTGCCACCTGGAGCGCAGAGTCGTTGGTCTGGGGCTGAATCGCAGGGTGTCCGACAGGCAGCAGCAAAGCAACACGCGCATGATGGCCTGGTATGTCAAGCGTCCTGCAGGCAGGGAGCGGGTACTGCAAGTAGTACCAAGCCAAGTGCCGTATTCCTAAACACACAATGCAATTCTGGGCAGACAATTCCACAAACACTACAAGCAGTGCGTGGGTCGGTGGGGTACTAACGGCCAAGGGCAGCGGCAAAATCCATGGTGGGCAAGCTGATATTTTGTCCGAACAGATCCCAATCGCACCTGTGTGACGAACGACATAAGCTCGCTCAATCACCTCTTCGCTGAAGAAGTTAACGAAATACTGCTTCAGAGCTGCATCCGACCGATACCGAGAGGGAATGTTCCTGCAAATCGTGTGCCAAACTGGCGACAGCAAAAACAGGAACAATCAAATGTTGCTTAAGTGATAAGAAGGTTCGGCATGATTCTGCCGCTGCTCACGGTGCCCTGTAACATTTAGACTTGAGACACTCCTGCCTGAGGCGCAGCACGGACAAGCAGCACGTGGGCTATGCACCGCTTCTTCAATCGTGACTGCCACCTGTGCCCCAATGCAGAGGACCTGTCCTGATGAGGACGGTCTTCGCCCGTGGGAATGGGATTTCCTCTGACACGTCGTCTCAACTTGAAGGTTCAGGCTGCGCCTACAGCCCTACAGATTGTGACCGTGGATGCTGACTTGGTTTCCAGCTTGCTGCTCTCACCCACTGTCCTTCAGCCACTGATAGCGGCGCTCGGTGAAATGTTCCTGCTGGAATCAGCGATAAACTACACGCATCTCTTGGACTCGAGCACAACCATGCAATACTTAGCGAAGACCCGAACTGAATCTCACAGTTGTAAAAGATTCTCCCTGCCCTTCCGTCTCCCGCGAATTCCCGCGATTGCTCTACAAGATTGCAAGATGACCAGCATCTGGGCTCAAGAACCGGGGATCATTTGCACACCGTCTGACTTATGTACGGGGCACGGTGCTTGTCGTTGTGCTACCTGACTCTCCGGCTGTTGTCGATTCTAGCTTGTCTTTGGTGTCAGGCGCCAGAATTTGCAACAGTAGCCCCAACACTGCTCACTCTGACATCCATCCGCACCCCGCAGAGCACAAATATGCGGCTCGAGCAAAGTGCGAGTGGATTCCATAGTTGCTGGAAAACATAGAAGAACACACGTTTGCTTTCGCCAGATACCGGTCCAGAACTTAGTTGGACCTGGATTTGCCCAGGAATCTCATCAGACTGTTGTCGGCCCGTCTTTTCGCATGGCAGAGTACAAAGCTCAGAAGCGAGGTTGGCTTGAGGATCCATAGACTTGCGCATAATTATTGAGTACAGCTGGCTCGTCGAAAGGAGGGCTCCAGTGCTTCCCCACCCAGCTACTCAGAGCCCAAACCAGACCGCCCCTCCTGTCACAAGGTCCGACCTCGAAAGATGCCGAAGCCACCCTTCGTCAAGCACCAAACCCTGGAACAGAACGTCCCGGAGTTACACTGTAGGCGTTAATGAACGCAAAACGATATCCGGGATTGCGTGTAGCAGCAGACACGTATCCCAGTCAAGAGGGGCAAGGCGTCTGGCGAAACAGAACTCGACCAAGTTACAACAAGTTGCCACTCGACTCGACTTTGCCCACCAGACCGAACTCCGACGATCGCAGTCTTCGGTCGGTTCTGGATTTTGCTGCAAATCTGAGAACATCTTCCCACAAAACCCAATCCAAACCCCAAATTTGTCTTTAGTGTCGTGTACTCCAGCCCACCGACCCACACTCACCCGAAACCGAGGCCCCGCCACCCCCACGAAGACCCACAGGCGCACAGACACACATTCACACAGACACACATTCACACAGACAGACAGACACACAGTGGACAGACAGACAGACAGACAGAACAGACAGGACAGACAGGACAGACAGGACAGACAGGACAGACGGGACAGACGGGACAGACACTCAAGCACACTCGCACACACACACACTTTCTTCACAAGAACTGCCCTGAACGAGTCCATGAACGAATTACAGCAGGACGATCCACAACGCACGAGTTCCGGGTCCTGAGTGCGAGTTATAGTCCACGTACTTACGCAGACTACAAACCAAACCATCACGGCATGGACCTCAAGACAAGACGGATGATAGAGCCAAGGCAAGCTAAAGTGGTTGCAGGGACAACGCGCACGATATGCCTCTCAGGGCGAGATGCCCACAACATCCAGTCCGGAAGCGGGTCTCTGCCAATGTCGAACTTGCTGAGCAAATCCAGCTCGTATTCTGAATCCTGGTGCGCCTGATGATAGGTCTTTTCCATAGCTTAGGTTTGCACCCGAGGTGCATGTCAAGGCTATGTCCTGTATAGGATGCAGAGGCTACTTGTCCCGTGACACCTTGCAATATCTGGAAACCCTCAGGCTTGCACCCTTCTGCGTGCCTCGTAGTGCAGAGGCAATAGTACTGCACACAGCACCGGGCCTGTGTGTCGCAGCCTTCTCTTTGCACACAGGAAATGCAACAAAACGCCAGCCTATCACGGAAAAGATCCGCCAGTTCAGCCGCCGAAATTCCAGAAACGCCCAGCCATCCAAGCCGGCCAGCTTCACCTCAGTTAATTTTCAACACAAGGACATGAAATCAAGATCTCGATGAAGCAAACTACAGTACGCCACCTCGTCTTCTGGCGTTGTCTGCCAAACCTTCAACACCCAATCGAACAGGCCGACGTGCCTGAGCTGCTGCTACGTTTGTGACAGGCAGAGCAGCGCAGCACTGACCCAGCTCTCAACGTGGCCAAGCTTCGGATTGGCATAGTGCCTGCAGGGTAGGCATGCATAGACAGGCACTTGCTGACCACCCTCTTTCCATTACCGGAAACTTCGCTCGACCTTCGCGGCTTTCAACACGGCTACATGCGACAAAAATAGCATTCTGCAGCTATCATCTTCTATCGCCTTGGCGCTGTGCAGGGGGATGCATCCGTGTCCGTCACAGCTTCAATCTCCAAGTCAGCCTGCTTAGAGATGTCAAAACTGCCATGCCGGCGCTCCGACTTCGAGGCCATGCCAGGCCTCCTTGATGTAAACTACAGGGCGAAGTCGACGAAGCAAAGAAAAGACCTGCTTCAAGACTCCCCATTCACGCGACGCTTGACAGAGGACTGTACCAGAAACACGCACCTTTGCAAGCGTCAAGACACCAGCCACGCCAATCATCAACGCACTCTGCAGCATGCGGATGTCATCCTTACCATTCAGTGCCACTCCCATGACCTAGGCTCTGCGCGGAACCTGCCCTGATCTGCTCTGAGCCGGCATGCATTGACATGCCACGTACCCTGGCAGCTCCCGAAAGATTTCGCCGCTAGAATCTACTAGAAATTCTGTCTTATTGGGACAAGAAGAAACAGAGAGCCGAGCAGCCCGGCCGGGTTGAGCCCCAAGCTGCGTGGCGCCTGCAACAGTCGATTGAAGCATAAACTTCCCATCACGGTAGTTTCGGTGGGCAAAGTTGGATAACAGAATTCTTCAGCCTGCCGTCTCCCAGGATGACTCAACTGACTCAACTGGCACAAGCTGTCGTGACCTTATTGAAACGTAAGCGGTTGAAAAGAGTCTCCGTTGGGCACCTTGCAACGCATCTAGAAGGCTTCATTTAATTACTACTGTAGCCTGATCTAGTCTCAAGGCTGTCAAGGCAGGCAGCACTTTCTGACGGGCTAAGCCCCATCCTTGCCGCAGCCACTTTCTTACAAACCCGCAGTCCCAACAGCCAGCCACAGCAGTGAATGAAGAAAGTGCTCAATGAACATAAACCTAAAACCTCCTGACATCCTGCTACCACTGCAATCTGCGACCGTTTTTTCTAAAGCCATACTGTCATGTTTTCGTTCCCTAACCCTGAATCAAATGAACCCGAGGCCTGAACAACAACCACAGATGATGCCACAACTCTCAATTTCTTACCGGAATTCAGTTGGCATGTCTCCTCGTACTGTCCATGATACAAGAAACAAAACAGCTGCTGCTGCCTCTTGGCACCCCCACCGTCTTTCTAGTCTAAGTATCCAAATGCAATTGCAGCCACATTCCGGGCCGAATGATTTGTGACATTAGGGCACGCAACCCAAGAAAAAGGAACAGTTTAAGAGACTCATGTCCCATAGCAGAGACCGCCAGCCAAGTCACCATCTTTTCCCAGTGATTTCTCAATCTGCTGCATCTCCCACTGCAGTGCATCTTGCAGTGTTTGTGCCTGTGAGAGTCAGCCGTTGGCCTAGCATGGTGTAATACATCCATAGCCGCGTGAGACAGAAAGCACGTTTACCCCGAGGATAGAAAATTTAACGGCCTGACCCAGGTGTTGCGACCTGCCTGCCTTGTGTTATCGATGGAAAAATCTCTACAATGCCGCATCAAGAAGGCCAGTTACATATGCGTCCGCCAATCTTTACAACACTGCGCCGCATTTGCCGAACAGCGCACCCCGCCCTGCCGCCCCTCGCTCAGGCAGTGACATTGACGGAGTGACGGACCGATAGTTCAACATGGTGCCAAACCGAATGGTGTTGTTGTTGCTGCTGTTGATGTCGATGCGGTTGTGATTTGTGGTTGGTTGTTGGCTGTTGGCTACTGGCTGCTGTTTGTTGCTTGCTGCTTGCTGTTTGCTGTTGCTGGTGCTGCTGTTGTTTTTTTTACGGATACTGTAGCTGTTGCTGTTGTTGCTGTTGTTGTGGTAGTTGTAGTTGTAGTTGTAGTTGTAGTTGTAGTTGTAGTTGTAGTTGTAGTTGTAGTTGTAGTTGTTGTTGTTGTTGTTGTTGTTGCTCGTGTTCCTGTTCTGGTTTTCGTCATCGTTTCGTTGTCGCTGCGGTTGTTGTTCTCCTTACTGTTGTTATGTTCTTGTTCTTGATTTAGTCGGCTAGCTAGCTAGTCAGACCGATGTTGTTTGCTTGTTTGGTTGGTGGCTTATTTAGTTGGCTAGTTAGTTAGTTACTTAGGTAGTTTGTTTGTTATCTCGTTTGTTACTAGTTAGTAGTTAGGTTAGTTAGTGGGTTAGTTAGCCAACTAGCTAGCTAGCTAGCTAGCTAGCTAGTTTCCTGTGGTCCACACCGCATGGCAAGTCTTGGGCCAAGTTTGACGTAGCTCAGTCCGGAGCCCCGAAGCGCAAGCCTTCGTCACTTCTCACAGATGTTCAGGCGATCTTGCTGCACACAGACCACAGGCAAAGGGATCCGTGCAGTCCAGTTACTAGATGTAGAACGCAAACACTGAGCATGATTCTGAGATGGCTTTCTCTGTCTGTGAGCGTAGCGATTGTGCTCGAAGACGACGCTGCGACTTTGGCGGGTTTACCCTGGCTCACCATCCACAGGCTCTCATGTCTCTGGCCAGCAGGACAAGTAAAATCGTGGCCCTTCTTCTTCTTCTTGTTGCTCTTTTCCTTCCTGTCCTGGTATTTTTCTTTCTTGTTGCTGTTGCTGCTGCTGTTCTCGTTGTCGTTGTCGTTGTGGTCGTGGTCGGGTGGTGGTTGCTGTTGCTGTTGCTGTTGCTGTTGCTGTTGCTGTTGCTGTTGCTGCCGCTGCCGCTGCCGCTGCCGCTGCCGCTGCCGCTGCCGCGCCGCTGCCGCTGCCGCTGCCGCTGCCGCTGCCGCTGCCGCTGCCGCTGCCGCTGCGGCTGCTGCTGCTGCTGCTGCTGCTGCTGGTGGTGGTGGTGGTGGTGGTGGTGGTGTTCCGAGGTGTTTGCCGCTGATTCTTCGTGTGTGTGTGTGTGTGTGTGTTTTGCATTGTTTGGTGTTTGTTTGCTATTGGTGTGTTGGTTGCTTGTTGTTGGGTCGTTGCTTGCTTGCTTTGTGTTAGTTTATGTGACTTGTTGATTGTTGTTTGTTGTTGCTGCTTTTTACTTGTTGCCTGCTGGTAGCTGGTGCTGTTGACTGTTTGTTGGTTGCCGGTTGCTGCTGCGGCTGCTGCCGACGTCACTGCCGCTGCTGCTGCTGCTGGTGCTGTTGCTACTGGTGCTGGTGATGCTGTTGTTGTTGTTGTTGTTGCTGCTGGTCTGTCGAGCACTGTTCGGACCATGTACCTAAGCCTTCGGTGCGAGGTGACGTCCTTTGCTAGGCCGGGCTGGTGCCCTGGTCAATCACCATGGGACAGCTGCTGGGTTCAGACAAGCTTCGAGATCATCGCTGGATGTCTGGGATGGCAGCTTGTCGTCTGATGCATTTGCTAACCTTATCACGGAAGCATCGCAACTGGAACATTAAACCCCGGCGATCGGTAAGACGAGGACAGGCGAATGCCAAGCGGGTGGTCAGAGGAGTTTGGCGGAGCTGTCCTGCCGACTGGAATTTGCAGAGTGGTTGCGAATGTTGGCGAGGTGACTTCACAAGGAACATGTCCTCTGCAAGCGCTGGCTCGTCATCAACAGCGATGGAGCCTGGGAAGGGCTTGTGCTACGAAAGCGGCATTTGATCCCCCCCTCCCCCATCACCATATCGCACTCCATGTACAGCTACTCCCCCCCCCCCCGGCCCATTCTCCGCTCGCCCAACACCGCAGGAGCCATGGGATAATACAAACCCTGACAACCACGCAGTGAATGCCCAAAGTTGCCTGCATTTGACATTATCTGGGTATGTTTGGGTCTTACTTACCTCATTCCCACTTGTATTTGTTGTTCTATCCACTGCACTCTAACGCCTCCTCTCGCGCTCTCTAACACCTCCTGCTGGTCAGCGAAACAATCGGCAACATTCGGCAACTAAAACGACTGAATGGCGCTCTACAAAGGCTGAACGGAAAATACCACGGACGAAACCGCGAAGCGAGAACACTTCTTCGCAAATTGAAAGTGCTGCATCGGTAACCAAGCGCCCCCCAAATCACGAACCACAACCGGTGGTGCAGGGTAGGCCCTGAGGTATAGTATCGGTTCACGAAGACCGGTTCGACCCTGAGGCGTGGGTGGTGTGCCGCAGAAACAGGCCGCTGCGACCCGCAACGCCTCAAGCTCTAGAGTCTAGATGCTCTTCGCGAACCCTCAGATTCTCCCCTCAACCACGGCTGCGTGTCGTACATTCACTTGGTCACCGATGCAGCATGTTTAGTTTCCGAATCAGCAGGTCTCGGCTCGCGAGTCACGATTCGGGGGCACCCGCCCGCCCGCCCGCCCGCGCGCCCGCCCGCCCGCCCCGCCCGCCCGCCCGCCCGATTCAGGCTTGTCGTTCGAGATTCAACTGCGGTTCGCGATTCAGGCCGCGGTAGCTAGCCATTAAATCGTTTTAGTTCATGCAATCGTTTGATCCACGATTTTTGCACATATTCCTGATTCGCACACTTATGGATTCGCAGGTAGTTCTTCATCTGGTAGTTGTTGCCCGCTTTGGTCAGGTAGCGGAAAAAGCGTGCGAGCAGTGGCCAGCTCATCTCCGTTCTTGCGCAAACTCAACATGTCTCAGCATATATTCATTCCGACCCGAAGGTGACAAACTCGTCAGTAAGCACTAGCAGCATGCTGCATCTGTGCCATATTCCAAAACTCATCGACAAGTTATGATGAAATCTCTGCCACGAGACGGCGCGGACGGATCTCTGCGTGTCTCTGATACAAAGATTTTCTGGTTCGGAAGGAGCAATGACTGCAGCGATGCCTCAGTTGCATGCGGCTCCAAGCCAGTTGTTGCTGTCGGCGTAAATGGGAACAAGTTGTTGCAAAGTGGTGCAAGCAACATGACATGGGGAGTTCATTCTTCACGAGAACATCCGGCCCGTTAGCCGAGCTTGGCGCAAACAAGCGTCAACAAGCCACAGTATGGTCGCCAAAGAGCATGTCTGACGAGCTGCGGCTGCTACATGCTTCGAGAATGACGGCAGCCAACCAGACTGCTGACATGCTTGCAAAGGCCAGGCTAGTGCCATCAGGCCACTTCGATCTTCGTCCGTAGCATTTTCAACCAAGGCAGCAGTCAAGAGGTTCACCAGGCCCACCTTGGTTGCCCAGTCGTCCAAAACCTTCAGAGTTTTCTAAACCCTAAGAAGAAGCTTTAAGGCCTACTGTACTCAGCGACTGAGGCACTGAAATGGCAGCTTGCCACGCAATGTGGCGCATGCCAGAGAATAGTTGCTGTACCGAAATTGAAGCAGTCCGGGTAAAATGGGGTTTGCGTGAGTCCGAGCCATCAGGCCTGATCCCAGAGGCTGCAGAAGCTCAACGCATGAGCCAAGCTCGTCGTTGTCCAGGCGCGAAAAACCCGAGGGACCTTAGAGAAAGCCTTACTGTAGAGTCTTAGAGCCGAGCTCGTTCCTCCTCTGGCCTCTGCCCCTCGAGGCACTTCTGCAGAGCCTGGACCTCGCGAAGCGGCGAAGCAACCGATGGCACCGCGCTGATTTTGCAGCCAGTGTTGCGGTGACCGTCAGCACAGCACGTGAGCACGTGTGCAGCGACGCGTGCTGTCGCACAAGTGATGTGCTACTGGCAGTTTCTTGATGCCGGTCTGCGCAGCTTTGCCATGCACGACAACTTCCGTGTGGGCGCTCCCAGTATGTCTCGTAGTCATCTGTGCGGCTTGCCTGTTGCATCCAAATCAAGAACGGCAAGCTTGTCGCTACAGTTGGATGTGTTTGGAAGCAGCATGAAGCAGCCAACAGCCGTGCTCTGCCACGGTCAATCGTAATATCTAGAGCAGAACGGAAGAAGCTCTGCACAGTTTTTCGGAACCTCCACCACAAAACACCATAACAACCACCGGCTGAATACTGGCAAGTGCCGGTGTCTTAGTGGATTTGTGCTTGCGATCTGTCGCGCATATGATCCCTGCAGTGTCTGACGCAGCAAAGTTGATGCACAGCATTGCACATCAATGTCATTGCATGTAGTGGCTGTCTGCGAGTGATCTGAGTACATGTGGGGATTTTGAAGCGACCGTGTGTGCCACAAATGGGTTTTGTGTCGACTCTTTTTTAGGATGAAGTGCGAGATGGCGCGAGGTCTGCCTCAATCGCTCGAAGCCGCCCCGCTGTCTCCCCGCGAAAGCCGGTACTTAATCCACGGAAGTGCCAAGCAACTCATGCGGCTGCGCTTCAACGTTCACATGCAGTACTGTACTCATGGTTTTTGCATAGACCGATGGAAATCGCACAGTTAGTCCAAAACACAGCTGACTCCACGCAAGGAAACCGATCCAAAGAAGATCAGAAGTCAAACCGAGGCAGCTGCCTTAACAAAACAAAGTTGACTGCTGTCTCATCTTTCTTTCCAATACTCGGAGCTACTCGAGCCGACGTGGCGCACTTCTCCAGCCCACATTCCAGACATGGCATTTTCGCACAAAGCATGAGGGTTCACGAACCCATGGATTTTCGACACTACTGTAGACTACTTCGACTCAGTCTATAGAAACCACATAGTGAGACCTTGGACTTGCACGGTAGCAGTTGTAAATGATGTGACACCTTCGAGAAACTTCCTGGACGTCTCTGTTCGACAGGTTACGCCAAAGGACGGGAATACATCTCCCGGCCCCGGTCCATACTTAGCACGGATCGTGTACTCAGCCCAAGAAGACTGCGCAAGCGAGAAGTGTTGAGGCAACGCTGCGGTGAATGTAAGTCCGATTCCAAGCTGTCGAGCAAACCCGCCGCGAAATACCTGACCAATTTGCAGGCTCGATTTATCAACTCGAAGGCTACTTCTCGCGAACATGGCTCATGACACCAGCACCTACGATTGCTCAGTCTACACCTTGTCAAAGGATGTCAAAGATCCCAAGCCTGGGCAGTGCTTCGGCCCAGTTTCGCCGCCAGAGATTCCTCAAGCGAGTGGCCTTGGAGCACTTACAGAAACTCCTGGGCTGCATCGGTTATGTTGAATGAGGCTAGCCTGGCACTGCTATGCAGCAGCACGCAGCAATTAAAGATTGCCTTGTGGTGCTGGTATGCACATACTAGCCGCACCAACCGCACCCGTACGAAATCCGCAGCTTGCAATTCACCGGGTATGGAAACTCTGAGGGCCACACACCAAGCTTGCAGAGCGAGGGGTCAGTAAGGGCCTCATGTTGTTGCAAAGCTGCTCAAGCCAAACTGTTCTCATAGCGATGAATGTGGCTTTGACCACACTTGAATCAGGAAGCTGTGCGTAAGACTTCGTGCGTGCATTGCAACTTGGGAAGAAGCCTCCAGATCAGATCGAATCGAAGATTCATTGACCTGTCCCAGAGTTGGATCCTTGGACCAAAACAACTGTAATTAGAGGGCATGCAAAACAGGTTTAACATGTCGACTGCCGATATGCTGCAAGGAAGTGAGGGCTTTGCTGACTGCTCAGCGAGTGATTGCTGTTCTGGAAACTAGGAGAACCTTTGAGGCGACGGCGTACGCACACTTCTCACAGAGATCAAAGCCACTCGTGGTGCACCGAAAAGTGACTGTATAGACCTGTCAGTGCGAAGTTAACTGCCGATGGAAATTGCTGACTTCGGAAGTTGAAGAACAGCTGGATATCAAATCTGAGTGCACATTCATGTGCAAAATATTGCAAAATACTGCATGTACAGCTGGGTCTTCCCAAGAGCTCTGCGTTCGTTTGGTGAAAATCTGTCTGACCTCAGGACAACCACATCAACAGGAGTGTTGATGCTGGGGGCTGCAGTTGCGCTTGCAGATTCATGGCCCGCAATCCTACAGGCACCTACGCTGGACGTGTTTGTTTCTGTGCTACAACATGCTGCAAGCAGCGCTGCGAGGTTCACAAGCCGAGCACGCTGCCGCTGCGGCAACCTCCAGTGAAATCGCGACCATCACACACCCATCCACTGGAGGAAAACCTTGGTGCAAACACACCCCGATAAATACATGAATGTGAACGGTCCTGCATGATTTCTGAGCACCTAGGCTGAAAACTGCCAAATCTGCAACTTGGGCTGCAGGCATGCTTTTCAGTGCATTTGGGTGCACCCAAACCTGGCGGGCCTCGAATCAAAAAAGACTGCAAGTGCGGGTCGCTACTGGCAGCCTACTGGCATGGCCCTGCCGTTGTACCGTGTGGAATCACTTCCTGACTTACCGCGGGCCCTCTGAGGCAAATGCCGTTCGTTTCATCCATGGGCCAAGGGGAATCTGCTTCTTGGCATGCCTTCATGCTCCAAGACTAGTCTGGTGTTACCGGACAACTCGGAACAAAAAGCTGCCTGCCGAAGTAACCGATCATCCCCACAATGCCAACCTTGCCGGGTTTCGACTTCGCGACACGTGTCACCACTCGCTTGTATACTACATATGACTATTGGCATCGGGAATTGTCATCGATGTCTTGCTACCGCTGCTGTACATTCGTTTACACACACTACACACAAACAGTCACACAGGTCTCTCTACACAAATTCATGCGCGTGCAAGCATTTTCTCACATACGGCCTCCCACGCTGCTGATCGAGTCGCTAGGCAGTAAATTCGCATGCAAGTCCTGTTTTACTCGCATAATATACCCAAAACCTGTCCATTAAGCGGACATAAATGATTTGATTATTTTGTCATGTGGACTGTAAACACTGTAAATGCATGGCCCCGCACAGCCAGACCAAGTCTAGTACACATATTATAACATGATTGCAGCGGATCTCTTGCACTTGTGCAGCGAAGGGGCGTCAATATTGCCTTGGTCCTTGTGCGTATCCAGGAATTTCACAACCTCCGTGGGTTGCTCAAGCAATGCAGCTTTCAAGGGAAGAAGCTCGGTTTGCTCCTGCGACAGGTTTCCCATCACTTGGCTCTTGACACTCCCGCCTGCCTCCTGCATCCTACTCCTGGAGCTGGTGTCTGGGAGATGTCTGCTTGTTCTTGTAACTAGATGTGGGGTTGGCCGTGTGAGCGGGCGGAGGTGGGGCTGGTTGTCTGGTTTCCTGGGACACCTTGCTTTCGCGTTGTTCTCTGGATTCCAGACTTCTTGATGCTCGCTCTTTTGGCATCCTGATTTTTGCTTGACATCCTTTCCTTTCTGGTTTGTGCTGGTGTCCACCTTTCATGTATTACTGAGTTTGCACTTGCGGTGCCGAACTTGAAAACTACGTCAACACTTTGGAGGAGTCACGTGCGGTCCCAGCTTGTGAATCGCTGTGCTTCCACCTGCCCTGTGTCAGAACGGGCTCAGGCAATGGCGACATACTTGCCTTCTCGCCACTTGGGCAACTCCAGCTCTGCCTCCCTGGAGGTTGAGTCCGTCCTGAGCTGTGTCATTACGACGTGGGGTCCTCGTGCACACGCACAAGTCATCACAAGTCTCATGATCTGTTTCTGACAATATGAGCCTGAGTCAAAGGCGTGAAGTACAAGCACGGGTCAAGAACACTGCCGGCTTGCTCCTTAGCGGAATTCTGAAACCTTGCTATCGGGACGCCATGCCGACCGACCATGCCGACCCGGACAGTCACAAGTGTCGAAAGCTTCAAAATGCTGATGGTCATGCTGTTGTACACACTTTTGTGCTGAACAATGTCTCAGAACTCGGCGCTGGAGCTATATGTTCTCAATCCTCGTGGTGCAACATCGAAAACACAGGTCAATCAGCAAAGTGTCGAGAATCTATTGAAGCAAACAGTCTGAGAAGCGAACCTTTTACTATTTCAAGCAATTCTTCGGCACACATGGAGTCGTACTTTTTCAGCCGTTCAACCTCAAGTTTGTGGCTGCATCAGTCGCGAACACATGTGGCCGTCCTTTCCATATAGTACGACCCCTTCCACTGAGCTCGTCGCATCAGGAGCTTGCTCCAGCACCCAAACCTCTCACGCACACATATCAGTTGACTCCTGCGCTGTCATATACGATGTTGACCAGTCTTGCGTGGCTGCTTGCTTCCGAGAAACTAGACCACTCTTGATCGGCTCTGTGCAACGAGGCCCAGGACCTGGCATAAGGAAAACTTTCCTACACAAAGCTGCTAGGCCCTAAAGCCCTCAGGTGGGCAGCGCATGGCATGGCAGCGCGTACCACTAACATAGAAGTGGGTCAGCGTGAAGTCGTCGGCACATTTCAAGACCAGGTTGAACCTGTGCTCGAGCTGGGCCATGCTGAGGTGCAACTGGTACAACCTGGTACAACTGTCCGAAACTATCACCGACTGAGGTTGGGGCTTCGTTCCACTTGAAGAGCAATGGAAGGGCTCAAGCAATGGAACCAAAACATTCCTGAGCGGCAGGACGCTCCACAAGAAGTGGTCGGCATCGCATTACACAGATTTGCGTGTTCTTTCGTTTTTGGATGTTTGCGTTAATGCTGTAGCGCTGCTTGATACTGCCTCCTTTGAGTATACGCCATGGCTTGTTCCTTTTTGCGACTTCTCGCTAGCCGGGCTCTTACAGATGCACTTAGGAGAAGAAAGCATCGACAGTACCAACAACCCGAAAACATCGAAACATGAATTGAGGCATTGGCTTGATGTCGTACTGACCCTTGCTTTTAAACGCTCCTCCATCATAGGAGTGGACCTGCAAATTGCAAGAAGTACCAAATTCATGCTTGCTCCATGGACTCCATGGGTGTCCGTGGTCACCTTGAACTTGTCGTTCAAAAGGCATGGTCGATCCGGCAATACCTGGGCCGGGAATGTTAAAGGATTGCCTGCTCCGATTAAGTAGTGTGAACACTGCCACAGGTTTTCTTCACCAGATAGTCATCGGGGAACCGTTGTTCCTGTACGAGGCTGCGGCCGAAGACTCAAACTCTTCGGGCGTCGGCGCCATATTCAGAAATCATTTTCTGAGCCGAAACACGGTTTCAATGCGGAATGCCTGCGAGGACTGGCGCATGCAGCTGACACTGTGTCCGCAAACAAGAACATGCAACAATGCAGGGAGTTCTGCAAACTCGGAAAAAGTAAAATGGATCGCGAAACTGAAACTTCAATAACACCGCAAAACGGGCCCCTGTCCAAGTCCAGACCTCAGGCACGGTATCAAGACCTTTTTTCCTATGATGCCGAATTACAGATAATTCATGATAACTCCGCACAGCTGCTGCAACGTGCTGCACCTTTCCGGCTTGCAATGACAGCTCCCTTCTCGAGCACAAGTTGATGGCAGGACCAACAAACGCAGGAATACCAAAAAAACACCATAATTACAAAACGAATCGAAGAGGTCGCGCGAGGGGCGGTTGCGCCATAAACACGGTCGCGGCTGGTGCCTCTGCGTCGCGAAGGTCGAAAGGCGGAAGTAGTGTTACAGCACGAATACGCGCGAATCGCGGATGTTAGAATATGCAATCTCTCCCGTGTTGGCAATGATCGTCTTACTTAATGAAATCTGAGCTCACCAGGCGGGATGCTCTGCTCACCGACGTGGCGCAAAAGCTCCGTATTCTCGTGCCGGGGGTGGAAGCAAGAACGATTGCGACCCGACACTCGCGTGCCCCAACACCGGTTTGCTCGCGGCGGGCTAGTTGTCGAGAGGGCATGCGCGAAGTGGTTGGACCTGACTGGAAATGGTGCACCACTGCATAGGGGCTGCTGGGCGCCACTCCACTGGGGCAGCCCCAGCGCAAATGCGGAGCGGGTGGCGGAGCGGCGCAAGAGGGCCGCATACCCGTTGCGAAGCCCGCAACCTCGAAAGCAGGAAATCAGTGGGTCAGCGGATTCTGCGAGACCATCCCTAGTGCAACATGCTACTTGAGGATGCTACTAGGCACACTCAATCTGCCCTCGTGGCCTCCGTGGCCAGACACCCTAGAACCGGTTAGTACACTCCAACTTATTAAGAAGACATTATCATTTCAGCCCTGAGGCTCCTTCTAACCCTGCCAATTTTCAGCAAGCAAACCAATTCGCCATTTTACAAGGAGCTCCACCCAAGGCTCTTTGGATTCAAGCCTGTAACATGGTTTCGCCGGCCCGAACCAACGAACACAGACATTTCAGCAGGACCAACTTAGCTATCCAAACTGATTGTGATAACCGTAAAACTATACACAAACACTATACATGCATATATACATTTAAGTATATATGCATACACGTATACATACATTTACACGCATGTAAAACGTGTGTATACATATAAATGACAAAAGTAGTTTAATATATAACATGTTTCAAACAAAATGTCCTTACTGTAATGTGACATAATATATATTTAGCTAAATGTATAATAAAACATAAAATAAATACCATCTAACATACTATATCTATATTTTATATATAAGAAAATGTACGAATTCATATTGTATATTTTTTTATATATATAGAGCATATTAAATATTATGTAATATATATATATTACAAAAAATTGAAAAAATATATAAATTATATACGATATGTAAATGTATAATATATAATAAGAAAAACAGAACCCGACTGTCAGTTTGGCTCTAGCTGCCGGCCCAAGCAAAATTTTGCGGACCAGTACGTGGTTCGTTTTTTTGGTACGTGCTTCAGCTCTGGAATCATACATGCGTATACATGCACACCATTGCACACCCTAGCTGCCCTAGCCTGTTTAAACTCGATGCGTGGCCACATTTCAGAGCTCGCAAGGCATGTTCGGTGAAACAGAGGTCGGCATCTCGTGACGAAGCGTATGGCAAACGGTAGTTGCACAGGGAAAAAACCGGTACACAGCCGCGTGTTTGAATCAACCTGATTCCCGGATCAAGGCATCCGCTCTCAAGGCACCCATCTCTTCCTAATGCATTTCACTCGAGAAACCCGGGGACCTTCACGATGCCAAAATAATGGTTCCTGTGCCAGACTCAACCGACTATTGACTATTGGCATCACTCCAATTCCACGTGGAGAGGACCCAATCAAACCAGGCACAAAAACACACGCAATGTGGATCAACTGGGAAAGCCACGACATGTCGGCATGTCCCGCGCCGGAGGCCACCAGCGTATAAAGGATCATGCCCCGTTCCAGCTCAATGATCTTCTTGTGCCCCCTTTTCTCCATAACGAGCAAGACCTTGCGTGAGTTCCGCGTACGCGGCGTGCTCGGCCACCCACATACGGCACTCTCCACGGCCGCTGCGCATGGCTTCGGTTGTACCGACCGCGTGAGTGGGGACACCAGTGTGGCGTCGCAGCACTGAGCTCCCCCGCTGCTCAGCGCTCCTGCCACAACGAGGTCGAGCCTGCGGGGGTCCTGCGCTGCGACTCGCGGGGCGCTGGTGTCGGCGAGCCAGTGCTGCCAGGAATGACGGAGCCTTCTGCCCCTATCGCTTCCTGGGCGACCCGTAACAACACTCGCTCTACGACTTTGGCCCGTCTAGCGAGGAGTCCGGTGCGCAGGCAGCTCGCTTTTTGCGAGGGTGGCAGCGAGCCAACGGTCTTGCTTGGATCGCCAGAGCGCCTGGAAACTGGGCAGCATGTCTGGCAGCAGCACGCACTCGCGGAGCATATGCACGATGGTTTATGCTGTTGCGGAGTTTTAAAGTGTGAGACGAGGGTGGGATAGCAAATGCCTCGACAAACCTTCTCGCGCACACGGGGTCACAGGAGGTCGTTTTGCTGGGATGTGAACGTGGTTGGGTAAGTCGTTAGACAGCTCGCTGCCATGAGAGTTGCCGGCAGCACTCGTGATAACCAAACGGATGCAGTGCTCGACAAAGCCGCGCGACTTGCCAGGCAAGAAGTGGGCAAGAGACGGCCCACCAACCTCGAAGAAGAGCGTTCAGCTTCCTCCGCGGCATATCGCGGCATCGAGCGGACGTGGAGGCTTGTCGCAACCATTAGGAAGTCGAAAATTTCAGTTCGTTGATGTGGGATCTGCAGGTCGTGTGCGACTCAGTGAATTCAGTCAGCGGTGCGTCTTCCGTGCGTGTCCGATGATGCGGAAGCCTGGCAGGAGTCCTGCGCAGAATTACTTCAATCATTGCGGTCAAACCACGCTTGGCCGTTGGCCAAGTGGTGTTTGAGAACTATCCGGATATCGTGGCTGTTGGCAGCATTGTGAATCGCTGCCATCACCTGCCAACACGGGACCTGGACCGGTGGCCAGCGACTGGGCTTGGTATGCGGCATCGGAATTTTTCCGCCGCTGGGTGAGCTGCTGCGCAGATATCATTTCCACCCTGCCGAGTTGCGCTCATCAAGCCGAGCAAGCACAGTTATCCGAACCCAGGAGACGTGGCCACAGCATGCCACAGCGTGAGGCCGGCATTGTTGGCACTGGCGGGACGGCCCCGTACAGATCCGTGCTCAACCCAAATTCCAGTTCCTTCGGCTTCCACGGTTCGCACCCACGGCCAACGCCTGGGCCAGGCAGTTATTATGAATGATGCGCCTCCCGGCCAAGATTTCAAAACTATGATATGGACGCAGTGGCTTCCATGCATGATTCCGGCCTCGTTGACGCTGCGTTGTGCAGTGGCGCGGTCCTGTGCCAGGCGCATTTTTTTTGTCTTTTTTTCGCCAGTCGTCCGCGGTCCCAGTGCACGAGT